CCCTTTCCCTTTCCCTTTCCCTTTCCCTTTCCCTTTCCCTTTCCCTTTCTCTTTCCCTTTCCCTTTCCCACAGTGTCCCCTCTCTTGTTCCTCTGCCCCACCTGCTACCCCGCTGTCCTCCATCCCTTCTCAGAGCTCTGCCATGTGAAGTCCTCCCTCCCTCTCCTGCTGAGTTGTGCCCTTCCCTCACTCCAGGTGTGCCCTGTCCCTCCCTGGCTGTCGCTCCAGAGGTGCTGGAGCTACGTGACCGCACATGGAGCTGCAGTTCTGTGCAGCTCCTCGAGGCAGGTGGCCCTTTGCCCTGCTCTGTTGGTCCTCCAGCCTCTCCTGCTCCTGCTGCTCTGCATCCTTTAGATCTGTGAGTGCCTGTAGGGAGAGCCGTGGTGGCTGCAGTCCCTGTATCCATGCTCCGGAGGGACAGCTGGGTTGTTACATGATGTAGTTATTAGCCATTGTTAGTGAAAACATCACATGAAACAATAATTAAGATTTGTGACATAATTGCCTTACAAAAGCCCATTGAAAAGGAGAAGCAATAATAAAGCTGAAAGAAAGAACTGCTTGTTGCTGGGACAACTGAAAATGTAGCAGCAGGTAAGACTATTGTTGATGGGCTGGAAATCTCGAATTTAAATGTTCGCTCTGCTCTCAGCAAGTGCCACAAATGAATTTTTCTGCATGCCTGACCTTCTTTGCAATCAGATGGTGTTGGATTGTGACTTGCATGTGGCTTCATTTGCTAATGCACATCCCACTGTTGGTAATGCCTGACTGAGTGATGCTTCACTGCCTTTCTCAGGCTCCTGTTCGAGTGAAACACTTGCTAAGATGATCTGAGCTCCTCTGTTGCTGGATGAGTCCATGTGCAACTGGGCTACTTTCAATTATAGAACAGTGAAAGCTTTGAATTCCTGCTCCAGACTAGTTTATTAACGTTGGTATCACACTGTGATAAAACCACATTTTTAATCTTACAGTACTTAAGGTACATAAAGCATCTCTGCTGCTTGAGATTTACTGGCTTCCCACTGCTCAGGTTCACTTTGTCAGCAGAGAGGAAAGTCTGCTTTGCGTTCTCAGGTAAAATGGAGAGAGCTGGATGAAACAGTTGTTCAAAGGCCTTCTGTGGGCAGGGGGAAAATTGCAGAACAAGTACAAATTGCCTGCTTTGCTTAATTAAAAGAAACAAAAAAAAAGAAAAACAACCCCTGCCCCTCAAACCTCCAAAACATATGGGAATTGTGGAAACATCGGTAATAGTCAAGGAATTATTAAGTCTTATCTCTTTACCAGTTAAGGTTATCTTTGGTTGCTGTGGGTGGTATTTAGATCTTAACTGCAAATTCTTTCCCAGGAAATATAGGAAGAGAAATAGTGCTTAAATCCCAGAACAGCATAGTCTGGGTTTGGGAGAGCTGAGCTGAGCTCAGGCATCCTCAACTCAGCCTGGAAAACTTGTGTTTCAGATAATCCAACTTGTGCTTGAGCTGTTAAACCTCTTTTTGCTTTTCCCTTGCTCCAAAGGCTTTCTGTCCATGCTTTTGTTTTTGCTGCAGGAAGCTTGGCCTGACCCTTTAGGGGGGGTTTGTGGAGCAGAACAACGAGCTGGAGCTTCACAGGGATTCCAAACCTGAACTCCTCTGCTGGCAGCAGCTCCTGGTTTTATGTGTGGGTAAAGGGCTCTGGGAAAGTGTGACTGTACTGAATTCACTGCTGCTGCTCTACTCTTGGACATTTGTGAGCACAGAGGTTAATAAACCCGTGGATAATTGGGTATTTCAACACCAGCACCTCACTATTAAGTAATAGCTTTTTATGAAACTACGTAATATCACCAACTCTGCCTTATTTTTTTGACATTCAGTGTTAGAGCCAGACTCTCTGCTGGTGTAAATAGGCATTAAAACTGCTTTAGTTGCTCTGGTTCACCCCAGTTGAGGCTGCTGTAACTTTGGCAGCTTCTCGTTAGTGCAGCTTAATTACTTTTACACAGGCAACAATTTTCTCTTCAGAAACCACCTGACCTTGTCAAGCAGGTTCATCTTTGACCACAGTCTGCTCCCCAAACCTCCATCTCCTTAAAAAAAAGGTGATTCTAAGCACAATTTTCTATACAGGAGTTAATTGAAGTTTTCTCTGGCTTGCACAGGAAGGATGTTTCCCAGCAGGCCATGCAGGGAGAATTGCAGAGTGGGGCATTGCAGCCAAAAGAAATATGTTCCTAAAGCTGCTGGAATTTCAGAGTAGTGGTGCAAGAAGACATGTGATGACATTTAAACATCTCAACTGTTTGTTGTTTTTAAATTCATATATTTAAACATATAGGTTTTTTAGGTTTTAAAATTTACATATTGTTTTATGCAAAGTGCCATCTATTTAATGAGTGGACCTGGGGGCTATTTGCTGTAGTAAACTGATGTATTACATTCATGTAAACATTCTGCTGTAGATTTTCAGATTATTCTGGCTAGAACAGACACATCTTCTTCATTGAAAGAAACAGAAGACATGGGACTACACCTCTCAGTTGACTTTGGAAACCCCAGTGCTGTGTTTTATTCAGCCTTGAAACAAAGCAGTTCCATTTTCCTGTGGTTTGTTTCAATCAAACTTTTCCTCAAAAAGCAGATATTTGGAGACAAGCTTTGCTTGTCTTTGGAGAAGATGCCACTGTTTGTGCAGGGGGGCTCCCAGTCCCTGTGTTGTCCCCAAAAGCTGCTGTGGCTGTGCCTCCAGTGTGTCTGTCACTGGATGACACATGTTACCCATGAGGAATTCTCTATGATTTCCAGCAGCTCCAGGAAGAGCATTTATGTGTTCATTTATCTGGCAGCACATCTCCAGAAAGATTGGTAGTCAGGTAGAAATGTCAGCTGTGTCTCTCCCTGATAAAATTTAGATAAATAAAAACTCAGAGAAGAAACTGAAGGAAAGATTCATCGACAAAAGACAAACTGTTAGAAATTTCCTTTGTGAAAATGCAAAATAACATCGGAAACTAAAGGAGAAAGGTTTTCTAATGACCACGGCATGACTCCAGCTTTTCTCTTTAGCAAGAGATAATATATTCGCAATATCCCATTGTCTTTCCTTTGAAGGAGTTTCAAACATGCCTGAGGAAGGCTCCTACTGTCTGAGAACTCTAATTTCAGTGCTATGCCAAAATTATACTGGGCTGCTATTTCAGTTTGAGGCTTTTGAACATCCAGTTTGAGAGTGCTGTGGGTGCACAGGAACAATGTGTTGGGAGATGGGAGCAAGAACTCATATAACACCCTTGGAAAAATATCTTCTACTCTGTAGGACCCATCTATATTCATGTAGGAAATCCTAGTTCATTTGCACATTTTGGTATATAAAAGCTACACAGCTTGTAAAGGACAGTTTAAATCAAATGGATGAGATGTGCAAGAAGAAGAGGGAAAATGAGGCTTCTTTATTCCCTGTGTTGCAGAGGAGGAAGGAGGTGGGGATGGATGGAGTGACATGAGAAAACTCTGGAGAGCTCAGCTTCAAAACTGAAGTCAGGTTTCTTGAGTATAATATTCTAATAAATAGATGGGCAGCTTTTGTTGGAACTGAATGTGTGTATATACACATAAATTAGGGATGTGGAGATTGCTGGGATGGGGGGCTTCAAAGACTGAAAAAGCAGGACAGACCTAAATTCATTCGCTAAGAACATGCTCCTGGCAGCTCTCACACGGTGCTAATCACCAGTGCTGGGGACACAAAGCCTTTATTCTCTCTCACTAATGCCCTAAATGGGCTGTGAGTGCCCAGACCATTGTACACAGGGACATGATGCCACCTCATGCTGATGGCCCTGGGCTGGGTGTTCCTGGAGCGTGAGGTCCAGGTGAACAAGGGTGGGAGCTCATCCATGAGAAAAGGCCACCCTGAGGTGGGTGGTGTGCATTGGGTTTGTGTGGTCAGGTTTTGGTGGGGGGGGGTATAGGGAGAAGCTGCCAGAAGCTTTCTCCATGTCCTGCAGAGCCAATTCCAGCTGGCTCTGGATGGACCCACCACTGGCCAAGGCCAAGCCCAGCAGGAATGATGGTAATGCCTATGGGATAACATGTTTAAGAAGGAAAAAATAAATCATTGTGCAGAGGTAACTGGATCCAGAGAAGAGCAGAGTGGGAATATGTGAGAGGAACAGCCTGCAGACCCCAAGGTCAGGGCAGAAGGAGAGGCAAGAGGTGCTCCAGGAGCCGGAACCGAGGTTCCCCTGCAGCCCGTGGGAAAGCTCACGGTGAGGAGCTGTGCCTGCAGCCCAGGGAGGAGAGACCCCCCTGCAGCCCGTGAAGGGCTGTGATGGAGCAGAGACCCCCCTGCAGCCCATGAAGGGCTGTGATGGAGCAGAGACCCCCCTGCAGCCCATGAAGGACTGTGATGGAGCAGAGACCCCCCTGCAGCCCAGGGAGGAGCCCACAGGGAGCAGGGGGATGCCCAAAGGGGGCTGTAACCCCATGGGAAACCCTTTCTGGAGGAGGCTTCTGGCAGGGACCTGCAGCCCCTGGGCAGAGGAGCCCACGCTGGAGCAGGTTTGCTGGAAGGACTTGTGGTGCTGTGGGGGACCCACGTTGGAGCTGTGTCTGAAGGACTGACCCCATGGAAAAGTGAGAGCAGCTCCTGGAGAACTGTTGCTGTGGGATGGACTCACACTGGAGAAGCTGGTGAAGGATTGTCCCCCGTGGGAGGGACCCCAGGGGAGCACGGGAAGGACTCCAACTCCTCTCCCTGAGCAGCAGCAGGAACAACCTGGGATGAACTGACTGGGACCCCCATTCCCATCTCCCTGCACCACTGGAGGACAGGAGGGACAACTTGGAAAGGAGGGAGGGTGGGGGCAAGGTGTTTTTAAGATGAGTTTTACTTCTCATTCCCCTGCTCTGACTTTGATTCATAATAAATCCAGGTAATTTCCCCATGTCGAGTCTGTTTTGCCTGTGATGGTGTTTGGTGAGGGATCTCCCCTGGGCCTTATCCCAAATTATGAACCTTTGTTATATTTTTCCTGCCCTGTCCAGCCGAGAAGGGCAGTGATAGAGAGGCTTTGATGGGTTCCTGGCATCCAGGGTCAACCCACTACACCTTTCTTCTCCCATTTTCCTTGCTGATACCTGAAGTTTTTATGCTGTTGTGCTCCTCTCGAAAAGGAAATGGTGATGATGCCGCTTACCTCGGTTTCTTTTATTTTGCCAGCCAACTTTCCAGTGTTTTTGGCAGTCTATAAGCAATCCCTTGTGATTCTCTTGCCCTTTTGGTCACAAGTTTTGCTGGGTGCTATCGGCGGAGGGGTGTGGACAAATGCTCACGGGCCATTCTGGTCGGTGAAATGTCAGCTTTATTAGAAGAAAGACAGCTTATATACTTCTTATGACACATAGACATGTGATTCTTTCCCAGGCTACATTGGATACATAAAGAAAACATACTGTGTTCTACAGTACTAACTGGACCACAGCAGGTGTCCATAAAACTTGTTTACCTGCCAAAAGAACTCCTCCTTCACCTTGGCACAAGGCCTGCAGCCATATTAGTGGCGTAGGATTTTTTACTATCTGCACCCAGCTGTGCCAAGGCAAAGGTCACAGGAATGCAATGGAAATCGTTCACACAATTTCTGTCCACCGACAGGGTGCCTCCTATGAGCAGCTACACCCATCTTTCTACACTTTTGGTGGTCACATTGCTTGAATGCTGTCATTGTGCCTGTCATCAGGGTGTTCCAAAAATACATGTATACCCCAGGGAGTTAGTATGCTTATTTCTGGGTTAGGGCAATGTCTCAGTTTAATGAGACTGTTTTGCTAAGGAGGATGAGTTATGAGGAAGACTAAGCTCGTCCCTCCAAGCAATTGTAAATCTGAAATTAGGAGGGTCCAATTGAGGAAATATGGAGAAAGAAAAAGATAACAGCCCTTTATTAAAGGATATATGTGTATTGGCAGCACAACAAAAGAACACAAAACCAACGGAACAACATTCCTGCACCCAAAGTTCCCTCCAAAAAAAGAGTTCAGTACTTTCTGCCTTTTGGTCAAAGTATCAGAGGCCTCTCAGCTGGCTGCAGCTCCCTGGTATTGATTTGGGAAACACTGTGATAAACATTTTGTCTTACAGAAAGGAAGCAGCTTGTCAATTATTTGCCTCATATGTGAGACAGATAAAGCTTACTCTGTGCACAGGCTTCTGAGTTGGTTTTTAACTGCTTTACAGGCATTAAATTGGTATTTGCATGGCAAGTATTTAAACTTGGAATTAAGATCTGTATTTGAGCAGACACACAGCTGTATGTCTGGGCTTTTCAGGTGGGATGTACTCAGAGGGTGAATTCAGAGCCCCTTGACAGGCCACTCTTTAGAGCGCCAGATTTTACTGGACCTGCGTGGGATTTCATCTTGTTTTTCTTTTAAAACCACTAGAGCATTATTTTGTTATGGCTACTCCCCCACAAAACCCTATATACTAATGCATGAGTGTGCTTTAAACTCAGTATTTCTCTCTTATTTGAAATTCTTTTGTACTTTTCTCTGTATTTTTGAAGGATGTTTGCATTAGGCAAGGCTTCGGGACCTCTTGGTGTAGCAGATTTGAGCGTTAACTGTGCACTTTACCCCTTGAATGGATTTTATTCTCTCTGTTCTTGAGTGGCAGAAGGGAACAAGCATTTGTGCCCTGGCTGTTTTGATTCACACTCCGGTATTATTGATAAATTGAGCCATCAAAATACACAGCGATTGGCAGATTGGAGGTGCCAGGTTTGTGTCCTTTCAGGATCAGAACAAGTTACTGCACTTAAAAGTTGCTAAAGGGAAAAGTAATGCCATGTGATAGACAAGGCACTTGCTCTAAAGCATTTTTGGTTTTTTGTTCCAAAATATCCTGGACATCAGTGCTCCTAAATGTTTTTGGCATCTCAGTGTTGCCAATGGCAGCCAGCCTGGAATTAGCCAGCAATTAACACTCCCTGGGGATTTGCTAATAGCTGGAAGGGGTGGGTGAAAAGCGATGCTGAGCAGAGTGGTCGGAGGGTGAGTGTCCTTCACTGCGATCAGGCTGAGAGAGCAGCCACCAGGAAATCAGGCATTTCCCCCCTGCCTGGTGATAAAACCAAAGTGTCCTTAAGTGCTGCAATTTCCTTAGAGCCTTGGCTTTATTTTTCTTCCCGTGGTGGTGGCGGCTGGCTGTAGTTTCAGTCTGATATTAGAAGGTCTTTAAGAAAACCAGTGGTTTATGGGAAATCCCCCTTGTGACTTCCTTCTGAAATAAGAGCAGCAATGATCATAAAAATAAAACATTTTATTTCTCTTATGTTTCATTTACTGGTATTTTGTCCAAACTAAGTTTTTTGTCAGTGCTCTGGGCAAAAGCAATGATGCCAATAAACAATATCACATTTTCCCTGCTCTGGGAGTGTTCCAGGAGGCTGCTGTTGCTGACATTTTCATTCCTCAGTGGGGCTCACGGCACATGTGTGACCTGAGAACATCCTGCCGTGCCTTCAAAGGATGATCTTCCACAACCCTCTCTGTGTGAAGATGGGCTCTCCTCTCCTGCCTTGCCAGACATTAGTTTAATAAGAGGACGGAACTAAAGTTCCTCCTCGGAGGTAACTTGCTCTCCTCCTCCTCTCTCGACAGGGAGAAGGTTAATGAGCTCCTGTTGTAACCTTAGAAAGACTCTCAAAACCTTCCAAAGCTGTGGGGAAGGGCTGCAACTCAGAGCCAGACATCCTGAGTGAAGTAAATGCTCTCAAAACACTTGAGGGAGGAAAGGTTTGAGGTGGAGTTGGACAACTTGGCTTTTAAGGCTTGGATTTTCTTCTTGGTTCCCCAAAGTCTCCCTGAACCCCAGGTACAGAGCAGCTGCTCTGCCAGGTCTGTGGATCCTGTTGGCAGCAAGTGCTTCTGTTAAGTTCCTTATTTCACCTCTGACTCCACACAGGGGGATTTGGGGCTCATTTACCCTTTTTGGCAGTTTGTGTTAAATCCTCTCCTGGTCCCGGTGCTGACTGTGGTGCTCCTGACTCTGCAACCTCGTGTTTGCCTCTCACAAATCCACTTCAGAGGAGCTGAAAGTGCCTGGAGAGAGTTTTAAGCCTGGCTACTGCAGAGTGCAGAGCTTCTCAGTTTCCTTTTTAAAGGGAGTGAAAGCTGCCGTTGTGTTAAAATCAAGAGGGACATGAATCTCCAAGTCTCAGTAAATTATTCTTGTCACTCAGTGTCTCCTCCTGCATTTGGATTTCTCTGAAACCTATTAAAACATGTCTGAAAAATAAGAAGGGGAAGCAGCACCTCGGGTCACAGTAAATGATGTCGTTTATACTTTGTCTACACCAGGAAAGACAGTAAATTAATTTGAGCTCCTCACATCAGGGAGACTTCAGACGACAGTGAATCTCTGTGGGGACACCATGTGCAGCCTGATTTCTAACTTTTATCTAATTTTGAAAAGAAGGAGTGGAAGTGGGTGATCTCTATCCATAAATTAG